TATCGTGTTATTAGATGGTTGTGTACATTTTTCAAACATTTTAAAATGAAATGATCATCATATACCTGGAAACGTTTCCACAAAGATGCTCAGTGTGGGAAAGACGTAGTTGGCAATATTTTTCCAAGGTTTTGAGATTACCTTTGTTTTATTCCTGTTGCTTGTAAATTAAAATATTACGTTTTGCAATGCGAGGAGAAGAGAGAAGACTGGGAATGAGAGTAGTGGGCCACAGACATCCCAGTTATGTGCATTATTTATGAAGAATGCAAAATAGGTCATTTTTGGCCATTTTCAGGCAAAAAGCATGGGCTATAGCACATGGTTTTGACCGATATTCGACAATTTTCATACCTTTTGAATTTGCATGCATTGTTTATGAATAAGATGCAAAATATATAGGTCATGTTTGGGCCATTTTAAGGTAAAAAGCATGGCTATAGCCCATGGCTTTGACCGATTTGCAATTTTTTCACACCTTTTGAAACGTGTCGTGCAGTAACTATTGCAGTACATATTATAAATATGTAGTAATAATATTATGAAATATCTCAGTAGAAAATTATTCTGTATCGATTTTTGCAAAAGTACTTGCCCTCCCCTCCCCCAAAAAAATGTTACAACCAATATTGTTCTGGCTCTGTAGAAATAATATGGAAAATATCCCCTAGAAGAATCATTACCACAAGGTGATTTCCATTGGCTAAAAGCTGTAAAGAACTTGGAAAAGTAAACTAGATATAGCATCATGTAAAAAGATTAAAACATCCCCTCCTCTTCGCTCCCTCCCCCCAAAGAATATAACAACGAGAATGTCTTACTGCGTCGTACTTAATGAACAACACAGTATTCGAGCTGAGAAACAAAAGTAAAGTAAAGAAGGCGCACCACGAGATTTAACCATTGTATTTTTAGGTGAATAATGCATTCAACCTAATTACTTAGAAGACCATCAAGTCCTTTAAGAACGACACACGATTCGATTTTAAGGGTTAGCTCCCTGTGCACGCATCAGCAATAACTAGTTCAAGTTAACGTTATATAAATAGACAATTAAACATGATAAGGAAAATAAGAGAAGATAAGGAAATATTGTTATTAAGGTTATGGTAACCAATTGGTAATGGGGAAAAAGAGACTAGAAAAAAAGATTAACTTACCAAAGATATAAAAATATTAATTGTCTACAGCGTGGCCAACATAGTAATGTTAAAGGCAATAAAAAAACTTTTGACCATAGAATATTGCCAAACAGAATCAACCGTCATTGTCTCAAATACAGCTTTCAGTTAAACTGAAATACTTTTTGCTTGCATGGGGAATTCCAATTATCCTATTACTTACCTAATAAAGACTATTGACCTCAAAGAACTGACGAATGACGACTCATGCAGTCATGTCAGCATCGACTAGTTATAAGTCTACTAAACATTGATCAAAGATAAGTTAAGAAATATTTGATAAAAAGACCGATGAAAACAAATGTCAATGAAAAAATAACTTGAAGAGAAGATTTAGTTCACCTAAGATATAAAGATAGTTCTGTACATAGATTCATAGGCAACATCGTGGATGTTAAAGGCAATGAAAAAACTTTGGTTATAGTTCATTGCAAACAGCAGCTACATCCATTGTTTCTATAGCTTTCAGATAAATTTAAGTTCAGTTATATTCACGAAACCAAACATAAAAAGTCTGTTAAGTTTTATCGTTTGTAACGCCATTTTTCTGCATTGAATAAAGTACAAATGTAATTCAAATTTTCAACTATACTACATACGTCTTTATTTGTTATACTGTGGGTCGTATTTTGTGAATTTTGAGCAAACAGTCCACAAATAATGGAGTCAAAAAGGCACTGTAAAGTGCAACAGAGATTGGAATCACGGATGCAAGACTGACAGTTAATGATCCGATGTAAAAAAAAGAATATTCCTATAAGAAAAGGTTCTCAGACTTTCAAGTCAGTCGGAAAGGCAACCTCAACTAGGTCATATCTAAGTCAGTGTCTGAGGATGTGTTTATAAAGTGCCCAAGATGTTTGCTGCTTGCACTCTTGTATCTCTATTGCTTTTAATTCCTTGTATTAGAGGTAGGTATCTATCAATAAGGGAACCTATAGTTCAAATTTAAGGAAATAACGTGTTATTATAAGCTTAATACGTATATGCAATGCAAGATTCCACTCAGCTCAAACTTAAGCCCTACATCGAAAACTATTCATGTCATAAGTTGGCCCCATACTTTATTCCCAAGTGCTAGAGCTCTTTTAAGCTAATATAACTTAGAATATTACAAATAGACATCAGTTTTTTATGTGTCTGTCCTCTTATTGACGATAAATTGCGTCATCACATTGTCAAAGTAGTGTGGATCCACAAGGCGTAGACGTACACTACTTCATCTGTCTGTCCTCTTATTGGTGATAAAAAATAACCAATCAGCGCGCGAGAAATTTGTAAGTTATTGTAAAATTATCTGTTGAACCAAAGCTATTGAACAACACAGATGAAAGTAATGTTTTACTTACTTGTTGTATTTAGGATCTGTGTTTGACTCTGGTAAGGCATACCTCAACAATACCCTACCAAATGATCCTGGATGTACCGATGTCTTGTTTGTATCTCGTTTCAAACCCAACCAAGACATCAGAGTCATTACATCTCTCAGCCACTCAGATCTATTACGCAGTGTGCACGACCCTGCGGCATTGTGGGTCAAACAGGTAACATCACGCGGTTTCAGGGTGTGTGTTCGGGAATCTGGTGTTGGATCCAATGGGACTGGCGTTGTCAACTGGATAGCAGTACAAGGAACAGTCGTTGGGCTTCAGCACGGTTCAATTACCTTTGATCAGTTGGGATCTGGAACTCAATGTAAGGCGGTGCCAACACAATTGGTAAGTAAATCAACAAGTTATAATCGAAAAGGAAAATAGTTTTTGCTTCGAAACATCTACTACTTCCAACATCATTTAGAATCCATTTTTTTCTCAGAGTTGTTTCTTGTTATTCTTAATGCGCATTTGAAAATTTAATTTGTTATTGATATTTGCGCACAAATCAATTAATTATTAATAATTATTATTATTAATCGAGATCTTGAGACCTACATATATATTTTTGACATGCATCTTTTCTGATGCGCCAACATTAAACAAAGAAATAATACTCGGGAAAATAACAAGTGCTCTGAAAGGGGAAAATATTACTTCCACCTAAACTGATGTCAATTTATTTTTTACTATAACAAAAACTTCTCGTTTTTAATGATCAAACCAATCAAAGGAAAGAGCGCGCACTCGTTGACGTCAGCTTTATCTGTCTGTCCTCTTATTGATGATAAAAAATAAACAATCAGCGCGCAAGAAATTTGCAAGTTATTGTAAAAAAACTAAATATAAAGTTTTCTTGTCCAGTTGTATCTGAAACCTCCCCAAGTGTTCGCTACTGTGGTGGCGCCAGATTCAAGTACAAGACAAGATGCCATGAATGTCTGGGTCACCAAAAATAAGATAGGAGGAGCCTATTCTGTATGTTTGAGAGAAATGGTCAGCTTTGATGGAGTGCATAGCCAGCTAAAAGTAGTAAGTACATTAGGGAATGACCATCTTGTGAGTAACTAGGCTGTATTTCTAAGTGGGGTTTGGGTGGAATAGCACTCCATTTTCTGCGTGTTTAAGAGAAACGGTCACCTTTTGTCGATAATCAGCTTTAAAACTACATTGAAACTCATAAGTGCGCATGGCACAAGAGTCATCATAGGCGCCTATATTTCTAAGTGTGGTTTTGGGATGAGTGAAGGAGAAAAGGGTACTCCATTTTGTTGTGTGTGGCCGTCAACTTAAAGTCGTAAGTGCAGGTCGGGTAAGGTAAGGAAAGGTTGCGTTGGGGAGAGATGGTACTCCATTCTCTGTCCGCCTGACGGAAATGGTCAACTCTGAAAGAATTCCCAACATAAAGTTTAAATGCATATTGTAGTCTGTATTTCTAAACGGTGCGTCGGTGAGAGAGAGTACTTAGGATGCAGGGGAAAAAAGTAGCCCAGCCCAAAGGCTTTCTTTGTGATTCAGCTAGTTAATGAAAAGGTTATAGTCTTATGGTCGTTGTAATCAGTGTTAATTAGAGTAATTTCGATAAACCCGTGAAACACAATTTAGCTATTAACTTCTATTAACGCATATTTATGTGTAATAGCAGTTATTAGCGAGACAACTAAGTATTCCGAGTGAAAGTTTATTGACTGTGCTTAATTACTTCAGTGTTTAAAATATAATGACTAATAACAAATGCTAGATTGTATTAATGATTATTGCACTAACATTTTTTCACGGGTTTATGAAAATCTCTCTAATGAGGGTGGGATCATTCACTATTAGATACTGATGAACAAGTAAGTGAGTTCTGATTAACAAATGCATTCACTTATTTTTCAGAACTGGATTGCTTACCAAAAAATGTCATCCAAAATGAATGTGACAGAAACGAACAACATAACCATTGATACCAGAGGTACATCAGTCCAGCAGATTGACTATACGTTTTGTAAGGTACGAAAAAACTAAGGGCTATTGATTATCAAGGCCAGAATTAAGAAAAGTTGCACTCAGAAACTCTGGCACCTGCAATTAAGACTAAGGCAAATCAACTATAGCTTTTCCCAATGCGGTCTAGTTTCGGTACAAACACGTTCATTATCTTGAAACATATGTACACTAGAGGAGGATGCAGGTGAATGATTAGAGATGTGCTTCGGGGTCATACATGGACTGTATATAGCGGTTGCCAGAGGCGACCATTAATATCACATGCTTTTAGTTTAACCCCGTTGAGCTGCGCCACTGCTGTACTTGCGGTGGTGATAAAGCGATGACAAGTTTTTATCCTATCGTGTCTTGTGGGTGCATAAACAATGACTTCCAACTTATATTTTGCAACTTGAAAAAGAAATTTTGCTGTATGTAAAATCATACCTTTTCGCGCAATGAGACCTCCATAATAATGCCATTAACTTCATTTTTTTGCAGAACGTAAACTTTAAAAACGAATTTTTCTCTCCACCTGTTGTCGTGACAACGGCTAGTTACTATAGCAATGATTCAAGACCCGTGGCACAGGAGTGTAAAGCCATGAGTGTCTGGATTGAGGTATAAAGAAACATTATGGTACCGCATCCAGGGAAGTGTTGTACTTAATATTTTCTTACTACTTGTTGTTTAAGGAAATAACAAAAACGTACTTCAGAGTTTGCGCAAGAGAGCTGAAAGATGGACGATCAAAGACCAGCATCATGAACCTAGACTATATCGTACAAGGAGGTAAGCTATTAAAGTTTCAGTTGTAACAGCATTTATAATTAAGTAAATAAATATAAAAAGGCAGCAGTATCTCTGTACGCCCAGGAGGTGTAGAGTACACAAGAAGCAAGCATATAGGAATGCTTTACGCTTTGGATTCTCGTATCACAGAACAGGCTGTCCCTTGCTTATAATGAATACTTGTTGATGGTTTTGCAAGAGTCTGTAGTATCTGTCCTCTGAAATAATCGCAGCAACCTGCCAATCAGCGCTCCCATTACATCTCGAGGTTAAGAACTAATGCTATCATTATTTTCTTTCTCAAGTATAATTTTTTCGATTTTCTATTTTCAATTACAGACCTTGATCCTTGCATCAATGTATCGTGTAACTATTTTGCCGTGTGCAAGGCTTTTGCCCCGAAAGATGCTCGTTGTGTGTGCGTGGACGACTGTCCCTCGTATGAAGAGCAAGTCTGCTCATCCAATGGGACAACTTTCAAAAACAAATGCTTTTTTGAGCTGGAGATGTGTAGGTTGAAGAGCAATCACACGCTGTATCATCCTGGTAGCTGTACAGGTAGAGATTTATGACTTTATCATCGCCATCCCTACCCTCTCCCCCCTAAAAAATTATCAGTGATCACAGCAGTATGTTTGACTCCATTAGATTACATAAATAACAGACAAGATACAAGATACTTCAAATACTAGAAATACTTGTATTTCAATATATTGCTGAGTGGAAAGAATGATTCCTTGTATGAACGATATAAATTTGGTACCTTTTAGTGTCTACTTCAACACAATTTTGATATATTGTCCTTCTCCTACGCTAACACCTTTGTCAAGGTATTTTTAGTTATTTCATCAAGGAAAATGTAATACAAAACTCTATTAAATACCCATACCAAGCCCTGAGTAGTGACTTGTAAGAAAGATAGCAGCTCCCACGAAAAGGTAATCAGTATTTTTTATCAATTCAGGTTTTCCACTTGAAAGAGGCAGGACATCGTTATCTTCGACTCCAGTCGATGGCACAATGTGCAAAGAAGTCAGATTCAGGCCATTTGCATTCTATCCTGACAAACGAGTCCACGTGCATCTGACGGTCAACCACTTCAACACCACAAACCTTGACTACGTACACGACGCAATGGCATCCTGGGTAGAAAATGTTAATTACCAGGAATTCACGGCCTGCATGACAATGGCTGGTCGAAGTGTGCGCCCTCGCGTTGCGCAGGCAACGTTTGATTGGTTTGCTTATCAGGGTGCACCAGATGGAGGCGTGACGGATCGAACGAGATTGGACGAGTGGTGGACTGGAACGACATGTAAAACGGTCAAATTGCCCAAGGTAATGAAACATTTAGTCCTATATGCTCCTATATGGTTCTATATGATTCACAATCTATGCTAATTTAACTGACATCATTCAATAGTAAATAGTTTGGAAATTTGATTTAGTAAGTTTCAGTAGAATCACAAGTTACTTTTTAAAAGCATTTTAAAATAAAACTACGAATAAAAGACAACACAAGAAATTAATATCATAATGCAAATTAAATTCATATTGTCCCATCTCTTAATTCTAATTGGTCAGTTATTCAATTTTTGAATCTGATTGTTTAGACTAAGAAAACACGAGCTACAATCACTAGACTAATCATTTTCATAGATATTTTTGTTTCAATGTCATTTTTTGAAGGACAAGTTCACATCTGTGCCCACGGTCATTGTGACAGCGGAACACATCAGTGCCGCCTTCAAACACGACGCTGCGAACCTTTGGCTTGAAAACGTCAATCAAACGTCGTTTGAAGTTTGCTTACGAGAGCTGCAGAATTTTGATGGGCTGCATGAGAATATCCATGTGGTATGTCACAAACATGTATTATGTTTTTCTTCGCTAAATTTTCCACTAGGAAATCAAAAGAAAGCCTTTACTTTTTTCTCCAAGATGCCCATTCTTTTAAATGCCCTATTATCCTCTTTACCTTTACCTAATATTTTTCCATTTCAGACCACTTGCCATTCTCTTGAGAATAATGTTGTAATGAGCTGTATTCATATTTATGTGTCCTCTCGTGCGCAAATGTTAACAAAACTTGATACTCTAGGAAATGACTCGTCTTCTTAAATGGGAAAAATATTACGCCCAAAGAAAAGTGGTCAATTTTGGCTTACCATGAGAAGATAAAGACTTTGGCCATTTGCTTGGTTTAGTTATTGATACTAATGGTATTATTGTAGAGTTGGATGGCATTTGAAGAAATCCATCGTCCACTGTTCAGTGAAAAAGGAAAGGTACTCTTCCCAAATACCGGCAAGCCATCAATGAAATACAATGGCGCCTTTTGTAAGGTAACTACTCTTACTTTTCTGGTACTGGAAGAGACCCTCTCAAATACAGTTCATTTTAATGATGTTTAGTATCTGTTGTTTTAGGACTTGAAATACTCAAAAGTATATGAACACGTCCCTACGGTAATTCTGTCAACCAATCACACGACGGCAAGTGGGAATTCAAGACCCGTATGTAACGGTGTGTCAACATGGATTGAGGTAAGTAAGTATAAAACGACAACTTCATCTCGACGTCATCACCGCTATCTTGATAACATGTGACATCATCTCCGTCCTCTCCATTAGATGTTACATCATCACCACCATCCTGATAAGTTTGGACGTCATTATCGCCATCTCTATTATATATCACATCACCGCCATCCTGATTAGATTTGACGTCATCATAGCCATCTTAATTCAATTTGGCAAAAAAACCATTATTCAATTTTTTGCTTTATTTTCATAAATTTGACAAGGCTTTAATCGTTATAATTTGGCATTTCGAAAAAACATCTTCTTTGATGGAATAAATCAATAAAAATGTGACCGTCATGTTGGATTGCACAACGAAAGAAATTCCAAGCACAGAAAGCATTTTTTATTTCATTGTATGCTTACTCGAGGTGTTTCTTTTTTTGTTACAGTACATGAACACGACTGGTTTTCGTGTTTGTGTCAAGGAGCTCTACACAACTAAATACGAGCCCCTCACAGTCAGTTACTTGCTGTTATCAGGTACATTAATGTAATGATAGCACGAAATACGAATGTTTAAGGTTTTTCCATTAATCCCTGATGATGGACGATCGTCCAAAGGCTTGGAACATTCATTAGTAACGATTTTTCTTTTCTAATATATGTTTTTGCTGGTGATAACATATTTTTCTCAACTTTGAAAATACCCAGCAACATAGCTATTTTAAATTGAATGTAAATTTGTTACCCACAAAGCAAGGCGTCCTAATTTTGTGAAAGCCAACAACTATTTCAAAAACAAGCTGTCGGAACCAAAGGAGAAAGGAAATAGGCGATACTTCATTCCAAGACTGCAAGAAATATTATAGACATGAATTTAAAACATTTGAAAATCGTGTCATTTACTAAAACAGCAACACTCAATATATCTCAATACTAACCAGCGTTTTCTTGACGAAAAAAAACAAAACAAAAAAAAAACAAAAAAAAAACAAAAAAAAAACCAGCGCGGACACACGATGCCACATTGCGCGAAATCATTGCAGGCAATGTTGTTGAATTAGAATTCAATGGAACTTGTTGTGACACGTCGCAAGAATTCAAATCAAAGCATGCATGTTTGTTGCACTCCCTTCTCTTGATTTCTGGTTTGTAGTTTAAAACACATCGCTACAAAGTAAGTTGAAGTACGTTGAAAGAGAAATTAATCGACAACATCGATCCGTCTAGCCAATCACAAGATCAAAAAAACATCCTCCACCAATTATAATGGTATGACGCACAGCCATATATACCAGTTACCACACGTTCCATGCATTGAGTTTTCCAACATCTTTTCAGAAATTTGCTACCCAGGCTGGAACTACTTTGATGGTATTTGCTACCACACTAGTTCGTCATGTGACACGTGGATTAACGCTGAAAACCGCTGCACAACATCGCGGGCACACCTAGCAACCATCAAAAGTCAAATACAAAATGTTTACATTCAGCAGCGATTGAACGGAGCCAAGGGATGGATTGGTCTGAATGATAAAAGCGTTGAAAGTGTTTTTCGATGGACGCAAAAAGGATTACAAAATAACTGGACGTACTGGGCAGAAAACCAACCTAACAATGCAGGAGATCAAGACTGTGTTCACACTCTTGGTGTAGACCATCAGTACCACTGGAATGACGTGTCGTGTAACGAATGTCACAACTTCACTTGTCAGAAAGGTATTAAAATTATATAACTGCTTTAAAATTCTTATAAGTTTCGAATATTCTTTTTTGCTCGGGCTGAACATCCATTTTGCCAAGAATATTAATGCGGCGTCCCAGCGAAGGTCCGTAGAAAGTGTGTGTATTGACAATATTCTGCATACTTTACTTTTTATGAATATTTTGAGACTAACCCTGACTGAGCAAGTGAATCTGTAATGATGAAGAGAGCGCGATATTTCACGAATACGAAAAAGGTCTATACAATCTTGTCTGAAAATATGAATCTGTTTCTAGATTTGGACGAGTGCAGGAAGGAAGCATTCAGTTGCCATGACGATGCTGTATGTAGGAATACCTACGGCTCGTACTATTGTCAGTGTAAAACTGGATATACAGGGAATGGAAAACAATGCACAGGTAACACTATAATAATTGTTATCAGTCATAAACATGTTTTTCTTTGGCACTCATATACTTTGCTCAATATATCACGTTGTTCTAAATTTAACTTTTAGATATTGATGAATGCACAACGGATTCTCCATGTCACGTGAACGCCACGTGTATTAACATCCCAGGATCCTATGTCTGTCGTTGTAAGAATGGCTACAGTGGTGATGGATTCAGCTGTAGCGGTAAGACATTTGATTTTTCTTATCTACTTTTCTTGAACCTTTTCTTGTATTCAACAGCTCCAGTTCCTGCTCTCACCTGCAGACATCTATTCGGTTTGATCAACTTTTTCGTATTTTGATAATGCATTGATATTTGTTTCAGATATTAACGAGTGCGCAACCAATACGCATCATTGTGACCGAAACGCATATTGTAACAATACAGAAGGATCGTATCGTTGTACATGTAACAGAGGTTATTATGGAAATGGTACCAAGTGTACTACAAGTAGTAAGTACTAATTTATTATCTTCATTTTATCATCTCCCTTTTTCCCGATTTGCAAAACAAATTCTTTAAGGTGACTAGCTACTTTTAAGTTTAAACTTTTTTTTAAAATTACTAATTTTTGAAAGTGAAATAGGTTGCTATCAATAGACGTCACTTCCGGTAATAGCTCTTTTTTTGATGGCTTGTAGAATCCTGGAGGTTGCTTTGATCTCTTGTTTTCTGGTTTGATGTCGTAGAAATAGTCAAATACAATAAATTGAGGACTTATTTTGATATGTTTTGACTTAGCATTCGCTAGTTGCCCCTCAGTCAACCGCTTGTTAATTACCCCCCAGTCAGCTCCAAAAAAGTCACGTGATTGATAGTAAGCAATTCAATGCTGATTCCAAATATGAAATGAAAAATCAGAATTTAATGGATGCCTACGCGCGAGTTTTTGGAGCAAAAATTGCGCCACCGGAAGTGATCAGAATAGAATTAAAATTCACAAGATAATAGCTCTCTGTAGACTCTATAATTGCACAACTGCCGGCTAGTGAATCATTCTACATTACTACATGGATATTATTAAAAAAAAAGACAAATCTCATAAAGTTTAAGAAAAGTTCCTCCAAAAATCGATTAATTCGTGTGTTAGAAAAATAACTTTTCTAAAGAATTTGATATAATGTTAGATTTTTCAATTAAGCTCATAAAAAGTATAGAGTCTCGTGCACAATTTGAGTGTTTTGCCCTCTTGAAGTTCAAAAAGTGTATGGTTCTTCAATAAAATCGTGAAGATTATTTTAGCAGTTTTTGAGCGCACACATCGTGACTCAAATCGAACGTTTAAAAGTAGGCAGTCACCTTACTAGAGCAAATTGTTCATGACAACCAATCAGTTCTATACTTATCCTTGTTTTTAAGCAGAACAACCATGGACGTTTTTTGTTTTTTAGGAGGACTCGATTCGTCGGCCATTTTAACCACCTATGGTAATGCAGACTACCTTCGTACATTGTCTGGTTACTTGTATCCTGTTCTACAGAGTTCAAGTAGAAGTCATTGGATCAGATGTTGGCGAGCTGCAACAGATGGTTGGAATGTAAGAACCACATTCCACCCCCAGTGTGACGGAAAGGGACCCACAGTGACTATAGTACGTGTAGGTAGCCACGTGTTTGGGGGATACACCGATGTATCATGGCAAAGTAAGTATAAAAAAGATGATGAATGTTATTCATGATTCTTCTGCTTGCAGAACCACCAAAAATTGGTGAGTTTCTTATTGTTATCACCTCTCAATAGAAACTTAAGAGAATTGTTGCTAATAAAGTAAAAAGAAAGAAAGAAAGAAAATAGAAGAAATTGCGCAAATAGCCAAAAGGGCTTCTTGTAGTCGTAAAATGCAACAAGCGGCACCGCTTTGAGTGGAAAAGCTTTCGTTGCTAATTACCAACAGTATATTCTTCGTTTTCATCAGCTGGCGGCAACTATTATAGGTCTTCCAGATCCTTCCTGTACTCTTTGTACAACACCAATGGATATAGTCCAATCAAGCTGACCTTTAACAGACATCTATACTACCAGTATGCTATATATGGGATTAATTCGTATGGCCCAACATTTGGTGGGGGACATGACCTGCATATCTCGAACTATGCTTCAAGTAACACAAACTCATATACAAACTTGGGTCACACATACCGTACTCCACAAATATGCAGCTATGGCAGTGGAACATGCCGATCTTTTATGGCCGGTACCTACAATTTTTGTCCCAATGACATAGAAGTCTTTTATGAAACCACCAACTAAAGGGGCAAGCCCGGCATTGAAAAAAGTGAATTTGGCATTATTTAGTTCCATAATTAAAGTGGTTTTACTTAACTCATGAACTGAGTTACCTTAGAGTGGTTTTAGTAACCCGTTGTCAAAATAGTTAGTAGACTATTGATAATAGAGACTAGTAGATCTTACCTTCGCATTTTTTACTTTCGTAGAGTGAAGGCATTTAACCCGTGAAATAAAAAATTCTAGTCAACTTGTAATAGTCGAATAGACAAAAAAGAAAACAATAGAATTAGGGTGTACTAATGTGTATTAGTCTAATAATTTATTTTATGGGTTTAGTGACTTCACGCTATGTATTTGACTATTACACATTAGCAACTAATTTTTGCTTCACGGGTTAGAGTGAAGTCACTAAACCCGTGAAGCCTAATAATACGCATTGATAGATCATAATTCCAGTGTTTTCATTTGTGTCTATTTGACTATTACAGGTTAACTAGTATTGTTTATTTAACGGATAAAATGCCTTTCCTTTAAGTAAAATCACTAATCACCTAATTAGAGCAAAATAGAAAACAAAGGATTTTGCACTAGCTATTTAGTACTAGGTTTTCAAGCAGGTACGTGGTCCGGCTATAGTCTCCTCCAATTTTTTGACGGTGAACAATTGTAGACATCTAGTTCAAGCAAGAGGTCTTACAAGAACTACTATACTGGTGATACCATCATCAGAATTAGAAAATGGTCAGAGGTTTGACACAAAGATGAATACAAGGGTGAGACCAAATGTCAGTGAGAGGAAAAGTCTGAGTACTATCTGTTGTTTGGTTGATCTGGCGTCTGTTTGATGGCGTTAGACTAACCTTGTCCAAGAAAAACGGGGTTTTCATTCGACGAAGAAGAACTGAAGTGTCTTGTATGAAAACGTCAGAACCGGAGAAAATTGACGATTCTTAATACTCCAGTGTATGAGGGCTTAGCCTCACTTCTGAGGTCGGTAAACAAAAGCAGAAATTAGAATAACAAAAAACAAGCAGCTTCTGGATTCGAGGCCAAGTGCGCATACACTGGAGTTTTAAGAGTCGTCAATAAGTAAATCTATTAAATAGATTTTCGAAAACTAGAGGAGAAATGGACAAGAGTAACAACTTGCATAATTTTCACAAATCAAAGGAATTACTAAATTGGGTATTATTTTTGCTATCGACTGAAAGAGCACTAGTGAATTAGTACAGTTATAAAATAATACAGCGAATATCAATAGAGCTACAAGCAATAAAAATGTGCCAACAACATGAGAACGAGGTTGGCAAGACCTTGGTTATTTTTCTCATACAGATCCTTCAAATTTGAAAACGCTGTAATTTTTCAGGCATTTGTAATAGAGCAATATAATTGTGCTCAATTACTAATGTTAGCATGCTGTTTTGAATGATAGCTATGTTGACTTTGAACAGCAATGCGCAATGAAAAGATAATTTATGTTTATATTCTAGGGTCTAGGGCTTTTTGCATAGAAACTATGGTAAGTGATAAATGCTCATAGTTCGTGTAGATAACGATATATGACGACAAGGAAAAAGTGGATCGTTATAAATGTAATATTCATGTACTGCAATAAGTAATAAACCGTTATTTTGACGTACTGATATGACATATTTACGACCTTTAAGAATTTTCACTAAGGATCCTGAAGGGGGGTCCCTAATCCCATTTCCCAACCCCCATTTTGACCAAATCCCATACAGTCCCAGCCTATGTTTTGCTCAAATCTCAATCCCATTTATATTCCCACTTTTTGCTTGTTTTCTTTTTTTGTTTGTTTATGTTTTGTTTTGTTTTGTTTGTGAAACCCATTCCCAGTGCATAAATCACATTTTTCCAACCCCAAAAAAGACGAATCCCACATCCCACTTTACCCTTTCAGGAAAATTGAAATCATGGGGGATAAGAAATGACGAGAAAATCTAGGGAAAAGTAAAGATTAAAAATGTGATTGAAATCCTTAAGAATGATTTTTTTAAACCTATAGTCCTAACACATTTTTGTTTTAGCACAACAAATATTTTGAAAGACTAGGAAACGCTGAAAAAATTCACATGAGAACCATATAGGATCTATCAATGCAAGTAGTTTTTTGTTCTGCTTCATTTAGGCTATATCGCTAGCTAAGATATATGTTCATGTTTCGCAGAAACTTGAGAAGCATGTTAAATCATGGTAAATAACTAACTACGAATCAAAGTAGTCCGGATGTGACGCAGGCTAATACTGTTTGATTGACAAGTTACCAAGGTCATGTGGAGTTTAGGCACGCAATGTATCGTTTGACACGTTATCTTGACAAAACGAAATATGATGTCGAAAAATTTAAGGCAGTTCAATTTTTGCTATAGTATAATTGAATAGCGTTTTACATTTTGCGGTTGCTGGTTAAATTATCTATATATATGTTTCATGATGTATACAACGATATTCGGCATTGTATTCAAAGAAATATCGCGAAGTTTTATAGCAAGTCTACAGTTTAATCTGTAAGGTCACAAGTACATAAAGTCTGTAATCCACCTTACCTTTGCAGGAGACTTGTAGCAACTATCGTGGAACAAGTTCCTCGAGTTGTATGTTGAGCTGGGATTATTTATGGGCTTCATTATTGAACATGGCCGACGAGAGACGAGTCGACTAGCTTGTTTGTATACAAAGGGCCCCTTGAGACCCAAACAGTCGTAAGGAATGCATCGATGACAATCAGGGTGTGATTATCGTGATTAGTGAGAAGTGAGAAGCGAAATTTCCTTTTGTTTTAATAACACGGGGGAGGAGAGGGAAAGGCATTATCTCAAGGACCATATTCCAATGTTTGTAATTTATTGATGCTCTACGACTAAAATTATATTGACCAAGTCATACAAGTGCTAAGTATGGAAAGCTGTGGGCTATTATCACTTGCGTGCGCATGGGAGAAAAAAATATTTGCTACGAGAACTCAAACATCTCGCAAACATTTTCCCGTTTCCAAAACACAACTTGGCTTATTTGTTGCCGTCTAAATATTTGGCGAGATAATCTCGTGTCTCCCCACTTGATCAATAATAAGTCTTTCGGGTCATCAGTTTTAATCGAAATCCAAAACTTTATGCCGTGGTGGATCAGTAGATCCATAAGAGGTGTAGGAAGGGTGGGGGTAGGACGACAAAGACTTCGAAAACAATATTCAAGCACAAACTAAGCTCCGCATTTAAATTGACTTAGGGAAACGTTTTCGATTTTTCAGATTCACAGTGAACTTGTTACTTAGTTTTCAACAATATGCACAGTTGTATCAATGAAGGATGGAATTGTCTTCTTTCATCCTTAGTGATCAAAGATATCAGCCTCTACGGAATCCTAGATCAGCCACTGTAATAGCAAGTCATTCGCTAGCCAACGAGGAAAACGATCCAGTAAAAAAGTTAATCTCAAAATGTTAAAGTAACTATTTTAGCCATTCCGAGGTTGAGTGAAAAAACTGGGTCGAGTTGGCATTGCAAAGCATCGTGGGACTAATTTAGGGGACCAAAAAGACGCCATCTTGAAAATGTCCCCTAAAACTGTCCCAAAATGCACACATTAGTAATATCAACTTGACTCAGTTTTTTGCTCAACCTCGGAATGGCTAATACGTACAAAGCCTTTATCAATTTTCAACCTAGGTTTATAAGTCTTTATTTGTTACCCTTTGGGTCCCTTTTGTAAATATTGAGCAAACACGTGCACACCGCAAACTACTTGAGTCAATTAATTAAGAGGCACTTTAAAGTACTACAAAGATAGGAATCACCGATGCAAAACTGACAGTTAATAATCCGCTGTAAAAAAACATTATTGCTATTTGAAAAAGTTCTCTAATATTTTAGAGTCAGACGCTGATCTCAAGATCTCAAGCTGGTCACATCTAAGTCAGTGTACATTTAGAGATGCCCGAGATGTTTGCTACTTGTGCTCTTGTAGCCCTATTGGTTTCATTTCCTTGTATTAGAGGTAGGTATATATATCAATAATGGAACCGAAATTACAAATATAAGGAACTAACTCTTTATTGAAAGCATAATGTTCTCCTCATACTCCGGCAATAAAAGATTCCACTAAAAATCTTAGCGCATTCAAAACAACAAAATGGCCATATTACTTTATTCCATGCCGCTAAAGCTCTCTCAAAATAATATGACGCAAAAGTGTTTCTGCAAGAATCTTTACTTGTTGTGGAAAAAAAGAAGATATATTCTTGTCTGTCATAAGAAAGCAATTCACCTTCTCATCGGCTTTTGGCGTCGAATAAAACTAATATTTTCGCTTACAACTCTGATAATGCAGGTTATGGAATCAGTGTTTCTTGCATGTAACATTTTCCTGTTTCCAAAACACAACTTGGCTTATTTGTTGCCGTCTAAATATTTGACGAGATAATCTCGTGTCTCCCCACTTGATCAATGTTTAGTCTTTCGGGTCATCAGTTTTAATCGAAATCCAAAACTTTATGCCGTGGTGGATCAGTAAAGGAAGCAAGAGGTGTAGACCCCTTACTCTTTGAATCCGAAAACAATGTTTAAGCATAAAAATAACTCCATTTTAAATTGACTGATGTAATAAAAAACTCGCTACAGGCAAGCTACAGTGAACTGCTCAATTATTTGTTAAGTATTTGCGCAGTTTCATCCATGAAGGATGAAGTTGTTTTTTATCGTTACTGATCAATGATGGCGTCCTATTTCTCGAATTATTTGATCCGCCACTACTATGGAACTCATTTTGCTAATTGAAATACAATCGCTAAAGTAGCGTTGTATCCGGTTTTTTTTTTTTTTTTTTAATGCAATGCGCTGGAATATTGGACACTTGCGCGTTATCTATTGAATATTACAAAGCATGCGCAAGGCATATCTATAGCCGGTATAATTGTATTTATAGGATCTGTGTTGGACTCTGGTAAGGCATACCTCGACAATACCCTGCCAAATGATCCTGCATGTACGGATGTCTTGTTTGTATCTCGTTTCAAACCCAACCAAGACGTCACAGTCATTACATCTCTCAGCCACTCAGATCTGTTACGCAGTGTGCACGACCCTGCGGCATTATGGGTCAAACGGGTAACATCACGTGGTTTCAGGGTGTGTATTCGGGAATCTGGTATTGGATCCAATGGGACTGGCGTTGTCAACTGGATAGCAGTACAAGGAACATTCGATGGGCATCAGCACGGTTCAATTACCTTTGATCAGTTGGGATCTGGAACTCAATGTAAGGCGGTGCCAACGCTAAAGGTAAGTACATTACTGTGGTTTTCGATATTCTGCGAACTCAGAGATTTCAACGGCTTGTTGTGAAATGGGTTTCTCACTGCCAACAGGTAAGAATATTTAAGGTACCGACTGCTTATTTTTGATTAACGGCAGGGAATCAAATTTCTGCGTTCAGTTGTCAACTACCGAGTTTGCAGAATATGGAAAACCGCAGCAACAAGTTAAAACAGCGAAAGAGTGGAACATAAATTTAAGTGGATACTTCGAAATGTTAGTTTCAAAAAACAAATAACTAATCTCTACATCACAAATAACGATTTTCTCATTTTTCTTTCCATAAATCGTGAGAGAAACGCCATACTTTTTAATTTTTGTGTAATAAAGTGATAATCAATAATTGATAGTTTTTATCAATAAATTACGTTTTCTTGTCCAGTTGTATCTAAAACGTCCCCAAGTGTTCGCTACTGTCGTGGCGCCAGATTCAAGTGCAAGACAAGATGCCATGAATGTCTGGGTCACCAAATATAAGATAGGAGGAGCATTCTCTGTGTGTTTGAGAGAAATGGTCAATTTTGATGGAGTGCATAGTCAACTAAAAGTTGTAAGTTCATGGAGGGAAGTAACCATCTTGCATGGGTGTACCCTGTATTTCTAACAGGGGGTAGGGTGTGGGTACTCCAGGGCAAGATCTGGTCCTTGATCCAGCCCATAAACGTCTTTCGTTATGGTTTGTAATTTAAAAAATTATAGTCTTACGCCCATGGTAATGTTAGGGAGGGCTGGCATCATTCACTATTAGATACTAGTCAACGAATTAGTTCTAATTACTGAATGCATCCTTCAAATTTTTTTTAGAACTGGATTGCTTATAACCAAGAATTACCACTCTCAATAAATGTAACAGAATCGAAAAAAGAAACCATTGACACCAGCAGTAACTCAGTCCAACAGATTGACTATGCGTTTTGTAAGGTACGAGAAGGAGCAATTAATAGCTTTTGATTATCAAGGCGAGAAACAACAGACATTGAAGCACTCTTGAACTAATTCAGATGTAGAGGAAACAACGTTGATTATCGTGAAATATAGGTGAACTAGAGGAGGGTAATCTCATCGTGCCTTGTGTGTGCCAAATACAATCCGACACTTAAAATTGATATTCTGGAAACTCAAAATGAGATTATGCTGAAATGGAATCATACTTTTCCAATCATGATGCCATTATTTTTTTTCTTTGTTGGTTTTTGTAGAACGTAAACTTCAAAACCGAATTTTTCTCTCCTCCTGTTGTTGTGGCAACGGCTAGTTACTATAGCAACGATTCAAGACCCGTCGCACAGGAGTGTAAAGCCATGAGTGTATGGATTGAGGTAAAGAAACATTATGGTACATCATCCAGGCAAACGAATCCAAAAATCACACCAAACCTTCCAGAAAAGAGATGCAATATTTTAGCTTGGTATCAATCAACTGAATGAGTCTCACTGCCCTCTATGTTTTATCATCCATGTACATTTCTATTGCTGAGTTTCAATCAGCTGATAAAATTCTCAACGTGGTGGTCAAAAACTAAAGACTTTGCATTGTACGTGTCTTCAGGCAAGTGTGTTTGTTTATTTTGCTATTTGTTGTTCAAGGAAATAACAAAAACTTACTTCAGAGTTTGCGCAAGAGAGCTGAAAGATGGACGATCAAAGACCAGTATCATGAACCTAGATTATATCGTACAAGGAGGTAAGGCTATCAATTATTATAAGGTTATATTTACAGCATTTACAATTAAGTAAATAAATATATAAAAAGGCAGCAGTGTCTCTGTACGGCCAGGAGCTTTAGACCATAGGTGCAGCTGAGTGGTTCTCTTGCTTATCGAGCGCTCTACACCTTGCATAATATTGCTATTAAAGTGTACATATGAGCAGCACGGATTTAATATTTCGATTCTACCTTATGCGTATTATGGTTGAATGGTGAAATGTTTCTTCATTTGAGCGTTGCACATTCAAGTCATAAAGGTTAATTCTTTTGATATATTAAAGACTTTGATTAATACTTTTTTGTGGTTTTGTGCGAATGTGTCTCTGTGGCAGCCTGCCAATCAGCGCAGGCATAATCTAAACGAACGAATCTCAATAGTAAAAAAAAAAAGAATTCCATATTCCATATTCCCTGATGATAGATCTAAGATCCCAAAGCTCGGAAAATAATAAGTATGTGTAGATGAAACAACAACTGAATATTTAATTGTATATATATTGTCCATTTTAAATTACAGACCTTGATCCTTGCATCAGTGTATCGTGTAACTATTTTGGCGTGTGCAAGGCTTTTGCCCCGAAAGATGCTCGTTGTGTGTGCGTGGACGACTGTCCCTCGTATGAAGAGCAAGTCTGCTCATCCAATGGGACAACTTT